GTAACATACTTCCTCCGTTCCATAAAAGTTGCAACATTGGAATTTCTGCACTATTCACACACCTTACTTTGACTACGATTTTCTAATAATATATGTAATAAAAATATTATGTATAAAATATTAATAAATTTGTATTAGTGTAAATTTCCAATATATTAACTTTTTTTAATGTTTACTAAAACGTAAATAAATATAATTACAGTCAAAATTGCGCGTTGGCAAACGTGAAAGTCAAACTGTTGCAACTTTTATGGAACGGAGAATAGTATTAGTTTTATGTACTTTTTCTTTCTTCCCTTTTTCTTTTATTTTTAAAATGTGTGTAATATATGTACTTTATGTTAAATTATATGCACAGTTTGTGATCAAGCTTATGTTTATTTACACATATTGAAGATATGGATCACTCAAATGATAAAGAGCTATGTCTGATAGACAACGCCACAACGCACACCATTTTGAGAAATAAAATATATTTCTCTCAAATGACTTTAGTTGAGGCTAAAGTCAATACCATATCAGGTGTTGCGAAGCTCATTGAAGGCTCTGGGAAAGCATATGTGATGCTCCCTAACGGGACCAAAATAATTATAAATGACGCTTTATACTCCAGCAAATCGCGGAGGAATTTATTAAGTTTTAAAGATATGCGTCAAAATGGTTATCACATAGAAACCGTGAATGAAAACCAAAAGGAATATCTACGTCTAACGACAACTAAATCTGGCACTAAATGTATTTGTGAAAAAATCCCAGCATATTCCTCAGGACTATATTTCACTCATATTAGTCCATTCGAAATAAATTTGGTTTCTAACACAAAGTTAGATGATCAGAAAGCATTCATGGTGTGGCATGACCGTTTAGGTCACCCAGGCCAAGTAATGATGCATAAAATCATTAAGACTTCACTTGGACACCCATTAAAGAATATCAGGGTTCCATTATCAAGTGATTTTTCTTGTAAGGCATGTTCTCTTGGCAAAATGATCATCAGGCCTTCTATAAACAAAATTGCAACTGAAACACCTTCATTTTTGGAAAGAATTCAAGAAGATATTTGTGGGCCGATAGCCCCACCATGTGGACCATTTCGATATTTTATGGTGTTGATTGATGCTTCAACACGTTGGTCACATGTTAGTCTTTTATCGACTAGAAATTTAACATTTGCTAAACTCCTTGCTCAAATTATAAGATTAAGAGCTCATTTTTTGGATCATTCTATAAAAAGAATCTGACTTGATAATGCAGGAGAATTTACATCCCAATCATTTAACGACTATTGTATGTCGATTGGGATTGATGTGGAGCACCTTGTTGCTCATGTCCATACACAAAATGATCTTGCTGAATCTTTGATTAAACGATTACAATTAATCGTCAGACCATTATTAATGAAGTGTAACTTACCTTCATCAGCTTGGAACATGCTATTTTACATGCAGCAAATTTAGTTCGGCTTAGACCGACTGCATATCATGAATATTCCCCAATGCAATTAGTTACTTAACAAGAGCCAAACTTAGCACACATAAAAATATTTGGTTGTGCTGTTTATGTTCCGATTGCTCCACCTCATCGTACAAAAATGGGTCCTCAAAGAAGGTTGAGAATTTATGTTGGATTTGAATCTCTCTCAATAATAAAATATCTCGAACCGATGACTGGTGACTTGTTTACAGCACGGTTTGCAGACTGTCATTTCAATGAGACGGTATTCCCAACCTTAGGGGGAGAAAAGAATAAATTAGACCCAAGTACGAAAGAAATAATATGGAATGCAACAGGGTTATCACATCTTGACTCAAGAACAAATATATGTGAGCAAGAAGTCCAAAAGATAATCCATTTACAAAATGTTGCAAATCAGTTGTCTCATGCATTCACAGATACAAAGAAAGTGACAAAGTCACATATTCCTGCCATGAATGCCCCTGCTAGGATCGAAATCCCAGCAGAAAATTCTGAAAAATCTCTTGCGAATGATTCTTCTATACGCAAAAAGCGTGGTAGGCCACTTGGATCAAAAGACATCAAACCAAGAAAAACTAAATGGCAGGAATTGATATGTGATGCCAAAGATGTTCATTCTTCTGAACAAGAAAATGAACAATTTGAAAACACTGACATAGAAAATGATATTGACAAAACAAACATCTCAAATGATGATCCAACTTCCTTAAACGAGGAAGATATTCCAGATAACGATAGAAACGTTGATAATTATGAAATTTCAATAAACTACGTTTCTACTGGAATGCAATGGAATCGAAAAGATGTTGATATTAATGAGATATTTGTCTATGCCGTGTCCATGAATTTTATGAATGAAAACAATGACAATGAGCCAACATCAATTGAAGAATGTCGAAAATGACATGATTGGCCAAAATGGAATGAAGCCATTCAGACTGAATTAAAATCGCTTGAAAAACGTGATATTTTTGGACCGATAGTCCCTACGTCAAAAGGCGTAAAACCAGTAGGCTTTAAATGTGTATTTGTGCGTAAACGCAATGAGAAGAATGAAATCGTAAGATATAAAGCCCGACTTGTTGCCCAAGGTTTTTCCCAAATGCCGGGAATCGATTACGAAGAACCTTATTCTCCAGTAGTTGATGCAACTACATTAAGGTTTCTCATTGGCATGTCTGTTTTTGAAAGGCTGCAAATGCGCCTAATGGATGTAGTGACTGCATATTTATACGGTTCACTCGATACAGACATTTATATGAAAGTCTCCGGTGGACTTAAAATGCCTGAAGCTTATAACTCGAAACCTCGAGAAATGTTTTCCATCAAATTACAAAAGTCATTGTATGGACTAAAACAATCTGGACGAATGTGGTATAATTGTCTTAGTGAATATCTTCTCAAAGAAGGATATAAGAATGATCCGATTAGTCCATGTGTTTTCATTCGACGATCAAATTCGGGATTCGCCATAATTGCAGTATATGTTGATGACTTAAATATTATTGGAACTCCCGATAAAATTAAAAATACTGCAAAATATCTTATGAAAGAATTTGAAATGAAAGATCTCGGGAGAACCAATTTTTGTCTCGGACTTCAAATTAAGCATTTGAAGAATTGAATTTTCATCCATCAATCCAATTACACTGAGAAAGTTTTGAAGAGGTTCTATATGGACAAAGTTCATCCGTTGACTTCACCGATGGTGATTAGCTCTCTCAACATACATGATGATCCATTTCGTCCCCGAGAAGACAACGAAGAAATACTCGGTCCCGAAGTACCATATCTGAGTGCTATTGGAGCATTGATGTATTTAGCTAATAATATTAGACCATATATTGCATTTTCTGTAAATTTATGAGCTAGATACAGTTCATGCCCAACAAGACGTAATTGGAACGGGATCAAACACATATTCCGTTATCTACGTGGTACAGTTGATCTCGGCTTATTGTACCACAAAGATGCAAAAGCTGCTTTAACCGGATATGCAGACGTTGGATACTTATCAAATTCTTAAAAGGCGAAATCACAAACCGGGTACATATTTACTTATGGTAACACCGCTATCTCATGGAGATCTATGAAGCAGACATTTGACAGCTACATCATCAAATCATTCGGAGATAATTGCATTATATGAAACCGGAAGAGAATGTGTGGCTGCGGTCTATGATTCAACACATCCAAATTGAATGTGGTATGCAGCCTATTACTTGTCACCCGACCGTGATCTACGAAGACAACACTGCGTGCATAGCTCAGATTAGAGAAGGCTACATCAAAGGAGACATAACGAAACACATATCACCAAAGTTCTTCTCTACTCATGATCCGGAGAAAGAAGGGATGATCAACATTCAACAAAACAAATCCAGTGAAAATCCAGCTGATATCTTCACCAAGTCATTGCCCCCGAAGAAGTTCACAGAACTTGTACAGAAAATCGGCATGTGCCGCCTTCATAATTTATGCTAATTTCAGGGGGAGTATTTGAATGCACTGCACTCTTTTTTCCTTCATCAGGTTTTTATCCCACTGGGTTTTTCCTGATAAGTTTTTTAACGAGACAGTACATCCGAATACAACGACATTATAAGTCATAATCTTTACCCCTTAATTTTCAAAATAAATTTTTAAAATAATAAATATTTATTCAAGGATGAACATTCAAGGGGGAGTGTTGTAAAATCCTGAGAATGATAAGTGTGAATTGTTCATCCTTGTCATCAGGACACTAATCCGATTTTCATCCTTGTAATAGACAGATGGTTAGGTTTTATGTTTCCAGCAGATTATGTAGAATAATTCTTTGATGATTCATCTCCTAGACAACTAGTATAAATAGGGTGATCAACCCTTTGTAAATGTACTCAGAAAATTCAAAAAATATTCAGATATTAAGAAGAAGTAATTTAGAGCTTTTATTAATATATATCTATCTCTTAAATTTGTTCTTCATCTTCTTCATTGTACAACAGAGATATAATAACTCAAAAATACTCCTTCTGTCCCGAAAAGATTGGCCAAAGTTGACTTTCACGTGGATTAATAAAGTGAAAACTGTGTGGTTGAGATTTGTGTAGAGAAGAGATAATTAATATTAGTCATATATTCTTTACTTGAAATGGAAATGACAAATCTTTTTGGGACATCCAAAAAAGAAAATTTGGCCAACCTTTTCGGGACGGATGTAGCATATCTCTTAAAAATATCTCTTTTAAAGAGGCCCTTCCTATTTCATAAAAAAAAGGATGACACTCCATCCCTGAGGGCCCCCCAACCCCGACCGGACGGTACGTTGGGAGGATGTAAGTTGGACTATAATCCCAATCTGACAGATAGAGAGTGAGGCTCTATCCCCGGTATTTGCAGAGGCCCTATGCATTTTTTAGCATAGTAACCCCTCATCGCAGTTGACGGGATTCGAACCCTTAGACTTGTGGTCACTCCCTTCCTACGGATTGAGTTATGCCCACCCGTTCCTATTTCATATACCACTCCAAAGTAGATAAGCTGGTGATCACATCTCCTCAACCCGGGCGAGCTAACCATAGAATAAGGCGGCCGTAAAATCTTCCCTCGGATATTCGTTTTCTGACTGGAAATGGCCACTTTACTCTCACAAATCCAATTCAAACTGACACACACCGCGACAACACCTCACCGGCGGCGAACAGTTCCTCCACGCGTCGCCGGAAGCGTCGCCGTATCAGTATCCTCGCCTCAGCGGCGAAGGAGGGGGAGAAAGCCTCAAACGAGGAATCATCCCAAGACGGCTGAGGATGATGACGGTGGCGGCGCCTTGATGGATTCCGGGACTGAGAAGGGGCTCAGGCTTGTGTTCATGGAGGAGCTAATGCAGCGTGCTCGGAAGGCTGACGTTTCTGGTGTCTCCGAAGTCATATATGACATGATTGCTGCTGGACTCTATCCCGGACCTCGCTCTTTCCATGGACTGGTCGTTTCTCACGTCCTCAACCTCGACGAGGAGGGAGCTGTAAGTCTCTACCTCTCCCTCACTCGCTCCAACCCCCAAAAGAAATTCAAAGCGAGAAAAGAAGAATAAATGTTCACCAATCACCATTATGGATTTTAGTGAGCTGTGATAAAATGCTGCTTCTTGTGAGCATGAAAGGGCTGTGTCATTCACTATACTTTCTGCTTTTCAAGTGGCATGCTTTCCACAATGCGTATGTGTCTGGTAAAGTTTATACCTGTGACAGGGCAATGTAGCTATCTTGGGAATTTCAAATTCAGTTACAAAGTAGGTTTTTGAATTTATATAAGGTTTATACTTAATTATAACAGGTACAAAGAAAATTAAAAAATTAAAAATGGATTAGAAGTGAGGTTGAACTCCATGATATTCGAATGCAACATTGCAGATGCATGCTCTGAAGAGGGAGTTGAGTGAAGGTCTACGGCCTGTCCATGAAACGTTGGTGGCATTGATTCGTCTGTTTGGGTCAAAGGGACTTTTCACAAGAGGCTTAGAAATTCTTTCAGCAATGGAAAAACTGAAGTACGACATTCGCCCCGCCTGGCTAATTCTTGTGGGTATAGTGAACAATAGCATCTAGCATTGTTTGGTGTGTTTCAGCCACTCCATTTAAAGTGTACCTTTTCCTGTCCTAAAACGTCAGTTTTGTTTGTTTGGAGCAGAGGAACTTGTACGAAGCAACCATCTGGAAAGTGCCAATAAGGTGTTTCTAAAGGGTGCTGAAGGTGGGCTTAGAGCTACTGAGCAGATTTATGATCTTTTAATTGAAGAAGATTGTAAGGCAGGAGATCACTCAAACGCATTAACCATTGCCTATGAGATGGAGGCTGCTGGAAGAATGGCTACCACTTTCCATTTCAATTGTCTTTTGAGTGTGCAGGTATTTTTACAGTCTCATTGTTGTTTGTTGGTTAAAATGCTCAGAACTGAAGACTGAACGACATGCGATGAGCATGGCTTGTGTCTTAGGGTGGGTGTAAGAATAATGTCAACAGTTTGTTTATTTTGGTTCCCTTTAATAAGTTCATAGCTTTAGAAAGACAGGATACCAAGTTGGTCAAATAATTCATAGATCTCAGTGGTTTACCTGGTTCTTTTCTTTTTTAGAAGTCATAATGTCGTTTCCATAGTAAGTTTTGTGCATATCGTACATTTGATATTATGAAAATCACATGCTCCAATTGAAAGCTGAAATAAGTATTGTGTCACTGCATCAGACAAGTGCCCCTCCCCTTAGAAAAAGAAAAGAATTGTGATGAGACATATATGACCAAATATATAATACGAATGACTACCTAATCAAGGGATTATTACTATATAAACCCAACATAGAATATTGTAATTTATGCCCAGTACTTCTTAAAGTTCAAAAAAAGTGGTATGCTCTCCAATAAAATTATGCTTAAAGGTGCCAAGTGAGCAAAGGTGGCCCAATTCCTAAAGTAAAGCGGTTTTGATGTTTTCTCTTTAGCTTACAGTTACCTAGCCTCTAGGCTGAATTTCACAATGACCTGCATGATTTGTCATGCTCTTTAGCCAAAAGCTCATAGCTACATTAGAAATAAAAATCCACGGGTTGAGTCCTCATATCTGGCCAAAGTTCTTTATATTCTTCACTTAATTCCTCCACGTGGTAGTTCTAGTTGCTGGGTTTAGCTATTTTGTGCGCTAATCTAAAAACCAGATCATGTACATATGTCATCATCTAAGTCAAACACGAAAATACAAAAACCATTTTATCTCTTCATGTTAAGTTTACTTTCTATTGATTAATTTAAAAAAAGAATACTGCTGCACAATTGGAGAAATAGAAACTTATAAAGATATCGCCCGAAATAGAAGTAAAAACAATGTGAAATTCCAAAATATGAGTGTTATATTCCCCCATAAGTAGGAGTAATTACTAACATGCTTGGAAGTTACTACCAATCATGGCATTAATTGGAAATTACTGCCACACTAATGCCTGGTAATGCCAAAATATGATGGTACTATTCCAGGATGGCAGTAAAGCACTTCTATTTAGGGAAAAAATATAGTGCTCCTATTTTGGAATTTCACATTCTTTTTAGGATGTTTTTACTTGGACTGTTTTCAGTCCTAGACCAAACCAGACTTGAACAGTTACAAAATACATAGAGACCTAACATCTACCTGACCAGTTCAGACTAGACCTAATCAGACAAGAAAATTTCAGTCCAATTAAAGACATCCTCACTCCTATTTCAGAAATTTCCCAATCTTACATGGTAATTTTAATTGTGGCTGATGTGACCTCACTCAAAGTAAGGGTTCTTTTTGTTCTTGTTTTTTTCTAGGCTACATGTGGCATACCTGAAATTGCATTTACAACCTTCGAAAACATGGAATATGGAGAAGGTCTGTCACTCCGTCATTGTTTTCAGGATTTTACTCCTTTTTCCTCTTTCATGGCCTCAAATTTCAAGGGAATTCTTTTCCAGTTGCAAACTTGTGTAAAAACTGGTGGCTTTCTTCCTTCCTTTCATAGAGTGCCATGCTTAAATCTAGATATCATTAGTTAATAATCTGGCTAAGGCTATGAACCATGTGGGATTTTTTGTTCAATGTAAGGATACAAAATAAATCCCTTCTAAGATTACATAAACAAAATAATCTCTCCTCCACCGGGCACCAGTATATAACAAATTCAAATAATTCGCACACATATGTGAACCACTTGCTTTATGGTAGTCAACAGTACATAACAGATTCAATTCATCTATTTAACTAGTGGTACATGAACTCATAAAGTTTAACTTGCTTTACAGTTGGATGGCCATGGGATAGGATAACTTATCCTCAAATTCTTTCTTATTACAATCCTGAGGGATAAAGTATTGGAATCCTCAATGCGATCATAGTATCAGACACATTTTCTTTGCCTGTAACTAATTATATATTATTAGACCCGCTGGATAGATTTTATAGTTTGTCCCAAGCTTCTCTCTTGATAATTTCATCTGTTATGAAAATGGTATAATGTTATTTTGAATTCACCAGTGTAAACTTACTTAGATTTTATTGTTTGCAGACTTTATGAAGCCCAATACTGAGACGTATAATTGGGTGATCCAAGCATATACAAGGGCGGAAACTTATGATAGGTGAGTCTCAAAACAATTTTCTCATCTTCATAGCACTTCCATTTGTAGAGTTGTGTGCTCTTGCATGCCTGTAATTTATAGCATGTAATTTTGGTATATATTTTGCTGACTTGTTTGAAATATTCAAGATCACTTTACAGAGAAAATCAATGAGTTTTCACTTTTCAGAGTATTAAAGTGTTGTATACTTGTATTAACAGATTGCAACTATAAGTCAAGTCAATGTAAACATCATGCTAACAATTATTTATACTTTTTGAAATATTTAGCTCACAATTATGAAATGTTTTAACACTTGGTTCACGATTAGAGCAAAAGAAAGCAATAAGAGTTCTAAAAGATCTTAGCAGAAGGCATGTGCTTAGATTTGCTGGTACCCCTTGGAGTGCTCGCTTAAAGGTCTAAGGGGAAATAACTTATCTCCAATGATTCAAGATGAGGATTACACTTTGACTAGTCTCTTAGCTCAAGGTGTAATCTCTCAAGGCAACCCTATACTACAATGTCTTCACAACATGTAGGGATTGAGCAATTAAGATCTGACCAGTTCACATCAGCTACTGAGGAAATTTAGCCTGCATAACCGGCATTAACCCCCAAACCCTAGACCAGTAAGTAATTCCCCCAATTTATACAAATTTTAGCGATTGAGCATGACCTAGGTGGGAAATCACCAAATTTAAGCACATAAAGAGATTTAGTTACGATATCCATGTTGTCACATACAGTTCAGGATAAGAATTTACACGCATCATAGAGTAAAAGAAGGAAGATCTTAGCTAAACAACTGATCTTTAGACACGCCAAATTCTAGTTGTAATCCTCAAAGAGAGAGTAGCATAGTAAGAGTCCATGTTCCAATTAGGGTTCTAAGACGATAAGTGTTTTTAGGAGCGTTTCCTTGTGAGAATGAATTTTCATCCAAAGCTGTGGTCCATGCTTCTAGATATATGGCTATAAAGGAGTTAGGACCGGGTCTTGTGTCCCGTAGAAAGAAGTTGCAACCAGCTGCCTGTAAGGCTGTAACCTCTGATGAGAGAACTGACCCTGACGGCATCCCATGGCGGTGGTCGCTGTAGGTGTCAAAGTGAACCAGTGCTGCTCGACCAATTGTTCTTTGGTGTCCGCTTCATGTGTGGCGTCCGTTGGTCATCATTATGACCCACCACAGATCGCTGGCCATCCGCCACTTTTGCCCAAGAATGCTGTGGATTTCCACAAAAGCATGCCATGTTGCTTCGGTTAGTCAAATATCAAGCTTCACATCTCACCTCCTCCAAAAAGTCTAATGTTAGCTGCGTGGAATTACTAAAATGTTTTTCACACATGAAAAACAGATCAGCTCTAGGAATTATTAAAATGTTGGGAAAATTCCAGAAAAGGAGTAAAAACGTTTCGAAATTCCAAAATAGGATTACTCTGTTTATATTCCCTAATAGGAGTAATTACTGCTTAAAGCCTGGTAATGCCAAAACATTACCTTAAAATGTTTCACAGATCAGTGGCAAAGCCATATTGTAGATTGCTGTGTGGTCTGTGCCAGTAGAGCTCATTGGAATAATGACCAACAGTGTGTGCGGAATTTGGATTTTATATACTCCGTATTTTTTGAGTGCAAGTGTCAAGTATGAAGACCACACCATAAATGAAAAGTTTCTACTTAGTGCTGTCAAAGCTCAAAATGTGGAATTGGATAAGATAAAAAAAATTAATATTTCGTGGGAGAAGCCAGCTTAAGTCATTCACTTTTCTTCTCCTTTTATTTGAACATGGTATTGACTGTTCAACTGGTAATTCATCATCTATTCCATAATGAATCCATTTCATCCTCCCCTAGAGTAACCACACCACCCTGCCATCTGTTCGCCTACATCCCCTCCAATCAATGATGATCCTGGTAGCATCGCTAATGTTGTTAAGTAGACCTGTTCAGTTAAAATGTAACACAGCCTCTCAATGATTGCAACAAAAGAAATTCTTCTCATTTGCATTCCCACTGCTGTTGCCTGTAGTATCTGCCCAGCTCAAGGAAAGGCTACATGTATGCATCAGGCCCATTGAGTCAGTGACTATATGGTATAAGAGACAAAACAATAACAGGGCATCATGGAACTCCACTGTTGTGTAAACTCTCATGTATTTGGATCCTCAAATTGTGTATCTTGGTACTTTGCAGTGCAAAGAACTGAGCTTGGCTAAGATTTAAGTACTTCAGATTTAGAAGTGAAAATTATTTATTTGCATTGTTATGGTTCTGATACGGAAACAGTCTCTCTGTGCTTTAGTGCATACATCCGGCCTCCCCTTACCCCACCGTAGGTGGGAGCCTTAGCGGCACTGGGGTGATGATGATGATGATAATGATGATGATGTTATGGTTTTGATGCGGTGTAGACATTGTACCTCTCTCATGAATGTGTATTAGTGAATGGTGATGCCCTTTCTCAATTTTATGACATACTTATCTTGATATTGGTTTCTTTTGTTTTAGCTTTGCAAAGGAAAGTCAATAATAGAGAAAGTAGGAACTTGCTGACTTGTATTGTAATAAATCCCGTTGAGAAACATTAAACTTTTATAGAACACCACATGCCATTCATACTTGGTTTTGAATGTTGATGTAGGGTGCAAGATGTTGCTGAGTTACTTGGCATGATGGTTGAAGACCATAAACGTTTGCAACCTAACATGAGAACTTATGCGTATGGTAGCTTTCCCTTGTCTCTCTCCTTTCTTTTGCGAGAAATATAAATTTTCATTTATATTATAATATGGAGTAACAGACTTATAATTTAACATTCTGCCGCGATAGATTAGTCTGGTGCCTATATTTCTTAAATGCTTCTTTCTCAAAATGGTAAACACTAAACAATTAACTATCTACGCATGCCAATAAATTTCCTATCCTGAATACATTTAAAATGGCAAATATGTTCAAGTACAACCATTTTTACCAGCACCACTGACGCCCTAAATATGCACTAAAATGTATAACCAGGATTGCTCCCAAATTCAAATCCCTGACCTCAAAGCCTAAAGATTATATAGGTTCTTGATTATTTAAACCACAAAGACATGATTGGCGCAATATGTTTGATCATCGTTGTTTAGAAAATTTAACTTTTGTTCTCACTTCGAAGTATTCTGTTACATCAGGTATCTCGTCCAAATAACTGGACTTACTACTCTTCTTGCATTAGAATATTTCTACCTTCTTATTTTATAACTGGGTTGGGTAGTAGGGGAGAACTGTCCATAGAATAAGGAAATACTTTTGTGAAGTGCATATTAGAGGTTAGGATGTCATCTAGAAGACTAGAACAACACTAGTTGTCTAGTTCCTACTGTTTGCTTCACTACTTTATGGACATGACTGATGCCCAAAGTGCCACAAAGAATGAATGAAAAAATTACAATGGTAAGGTCCATACTTTGTTTGCTGCAATCTCATTCATTAAAGTGAGTAGTAGCATTTACCCTCTTTCACTTTTCAGTTTGTTGGTAGAATGTTTTACCAAGTATTGTGTCATACGCGAAGCCATTCGACATTTCCGAGCGCTCAAAGGTATTGAAGGTGGAATTAGACTATTGCATAATGAGGGGAAACATGGCGACCCACTTTCATTGTATCTTCGCGCTCTTTGTAGAGAAGGTATGCTACTACACAACTCTGGATAGTTAAACGACTCCTCTATTACTCCTTCCACCCCTATATATTATTGCTTACTTTGACTTGAGAAACGTATTAACCGTTAAAATAAAAATTGGATGTAAGATTTATTTAGAAGGAAAGAGAAACAATAGATACCACACAATTCTTTCTTTAAAATGAAATAGTAGATAAGTGTGGGCTATACGAAAAAGAAAAGGGTGAAGATAATTTTGGGATTAAAGTTGTTTCAGGCGCATCTGAAAAATGAATGAAGGTAAATTGATCTTTTCACCTTTAGTGCTGATCCCCCCCCCCCCCCCCCCCCCCCCGACTCCATGAGTAACACACTGACGAGCACTTTGTCGTAGTGTGCCTCAAAATAATAATCAATACAACAATTATACATAGTATGATGAAGTGAGGTTCGTATCCACAGGGAAATGAATACTTGTCTTTTATGTATCTAGTAACAAAGGTTTTTTTGAGATTGTTGTTTATATTAAACACTAAGATGAACGACTTATGTGTTTTACTTAAATGAGATGAAGATTTGGCTTTGCTTATATCCACTTAATGAAATATTCTTCGATCCCGGTTATATCTTTAACTATCTTCCTCACGAATACTCAATCGAAGAGTATATCCAATTCATCGATTTTTTTTGATAAAATGTAAATATATATATCCAGAAAATAGCATAGTACAATGCATCAAAACTATAAAGCTAGCTATGCTAACTAAAATAGTATCTAACCATTCAACCCTTCCTTCCCACCCCTGAGGGGTAGGTAGGAGAGCGGATATTATGGTTTAATCCAAAACTATCGAGGGTAATTATTAATAATGAGACACATTCATTAATAAAACTTACTATCGAGTCCATATAGAACATGCATCGTATATTAACCCGGTAGTAGCAATAAACTTAAGATACGATTGAGATTGATAACCTCAACACCAGCGGTATGTTGGTTCAATCAATATAATTAATTCCCCTTAGATTATTAACCATGAGACGCATGCATTAATAATCCAAGTTTACTACCGTGAAAGGACCGAACGATTAACAAGCGTATCCGTCGACCGATTCTTGTAATAATTAATATATGAAACAAAAGTAGTTGATCCTTTAAGTAATGCTCAAAATATCAATATGAAATATGAATAGGAATTAACTAATATTCAAGGAAGATGATTAAAGAAAATAACTCACAACTTACAAATCATTAAGCTTCAATGTAGCAAAACCAAGATGGAAGAGTTTAGTTCCTCATTTGGAGACTAAACATACTAGAAAATATAAAGGAAATACTTATCTAGATTGAGCTTAGAGGTATATGTGATTTGGTGTCTAAATGGGAAGGAAAAGAGGTATTTATAGGTGTTTGGGGTGGCAGGGTCATTTACACGACCGGGTTTTTGATTTACCCGATCAGGTATCCCGAGTAATTGCCCGGAATCTTCATTAGTCACATCATACCTGATCGAGTTTTTTATTTATTCGATCGGGTAAAAGACAAATCTTTGCCAAATCTTTGCCCTGCACGTTTAATTGTCTCCAAATCATCTTTGAACTTCGGGTCAAGTCAAACCCGATCGGGTATATGATTTACCCGATCGGTTTTTTGACTATTTTTCCAAATTTTCACTTTGTCTTGTTTCCTTGCACTTTCCTTGACCTTCTCAGGATCCTTTTGATGATCTTTTCATAGTTTAAGCTCAGAAAATCCCTAATCTAAACAAATTACAAACAACTAGGAAAAATAAAGCATTACACCTAAAGTGTTTAATTTCGCGAATAACAACAAATAAAACTAGTTAAAATTACACACATAAACAAACAAAACTCTATACTATCATACTCCACCTACTTAGTCCATTACTCGTCCTCGATTAAAAATTAACATAGCAGTTCACAATCCATAGAGATAGAACTAAGAAGTAAGTTCAATGCAAGTAAATGGTTCTACTTTTACATTTCATCCTCGAATGACAAGAGGGGTCTTCATGATTTTCAAAAACAACTTAACTTGTCATTTCTTGAAACCCAAGAGCTCCCCAATTGGAATGAGTTCCTGCATAAACAAAGATAACATTTTCCTCTCATTCTCTCCTTTTTGTTTTCCTTTTCCTTTTCCTTTCCAAACTCACTCATTTTTGCCATTTTTGCTTAGCTTGCCCTTTTTTTGTGCCTTTTCAGCCTAAATAGGCAATAATGCAAGTTACCGGGTAGAAAATGAAGGTGTACACATCAAATGAGTGACCCACCTTACTTTGTCCAAGCACTGTCCCTAATGTTCCACGTCATTATTCTCGCCGTGGTAGCCACCATAACCGCTGCCCTCGACACCATAGCCTCCTCCGTTGGTGCTTGCTCCACCAAACTTACCCCAACACCGGCAAATCTATCAGGATTTTGTATAAACACTATGCAACCAAAATTTTTTAAAGGAAGGGTGTTTACCATTCTATTTGTAGGAAAGAAGTGTTGTAGTGAACTTATAGGACTTTTAAATCCTAAAGTTTTGGATGGCATGCGATTAATTAAATACGTAGTATGTAACACAACCTCTCCCCACAAATATTTTGGTATGTTTGTTGAAAACATGATTGCACGAGTGACTTCAAGCAAATGCCATATTTTTCCTTTCTGCAATTCCATTTTGAGCTGGTGTATTGACACAAGAGCTTTTATGGATAATGCCTTTTTGAGTAAAAAAATTGTTCAAAGTTTGAGAAAAATATTCACGGCTTGATTTTTAATTCAAAAATCTGAGAAGAGTTCTCAAGATCTGAGTAAGTTTCCTTAATTGAATATTTGAGAAAAATATTCACGGCCATTATCACTTCTTACCATTTTAATTTTGGTATTGAATTGAGTTTGGACCATACCATTTTTTGTATCTTGCTAGATCCTTGGCACTCTCCCACTTCTCATCATCATAGCATTGATCCAACTCTTGCAATAGGGATACCATCTCATTATAGTAAGAGATGACATCTCTACTTCCTTGTTTGGACTGCCACAACTTGGTTTTTAATTCAAAAATCTGAGAAGAGTTCTCAAGATCTGAGTAAGTTTCCTTAATTGAATCCCATACCTCCTTTGCAGTTTTCATGAACATGTGAGGTTTAGCAATTGATGCATCCATTGAAATGAAAAACCAGGCTGTGACCAAGGAATTTTCTGACCTCCAGATACTGTAGCCATCATCACCAGTTTGTTTCTCCTTTATTTCGCCAGTTATGTACCCTAGCTTGCCCCTTCCATCAATTGCCAGCTTGACAAACTGTGACCCTATAGGAACCACCCTAATCTATCCTATAGAAGCACCAATGTGGAGAACCCTCAACATCAAACTTACCCCCCACATTCTAGATAATTTGTGTCATTCAATCTATGTCCAGTAATGAGCATAGATGAATGAACTGAGGTCTGGTAGTTTGTCATGAAGCTATTTTGGGAGTTAGGGTTATGGGTTTGTGAGTGGGGAGAAGAGTCAGAGTGCTCGGTTTCCACCATTGTGGTGTTTAAACGGCTTGCTCTGATACCATGTAAGTTTTAGGAATAAAACTTCCTTGATTGAATAAGCCACACGGCCAGGGTATAAATACACTTTGTACAGATAACAACTAGCTAGTACAAATCCTAAAAAATAGGATCTTGATAACTACAAAGCTTATCTACAACTAACTGATTCTAGTCTATCCGACTAAATATGTACATCAATTTAATCAGAAAAAATAATGTAACATTTTCTACAACTATTCAAGTCTAAGTGATTTTTTCTTAACTTTTGAAATTTCTAGCGTATCGTGAATTTGATTTAATATATTATTTTTTAATATTTATTTAAAGATAAACTTTATATAGATTCAATTAGTAACAACTTCTCACCAATAAAAATACATACTAGCTAATTAGGTTACGGCGGGGCGGACCCGCCCTGCATGGGGCGGGTCATGGGTCAACAAGTTTGGACCCGTGCAGGTCACAGGGCGGGGCGGACCCGCCCCGTCAAGTCACGGGGCGGGTCTGGGTCTTGCACTACCCGCCTCGCCTCGACCCATTGCCATGCCTAGATAACCTCAACACCAGTGATTTGTTGGTTCAATCAATATAATTAATTCCCCTTAGATTATTAACCATGAGACGTATGCATTAATAATCCAAGTTTACTACCGTGAAATGACCGAACGATTAACAAGCGTATCCGTCGACCAATTCTTGTAATAATTAATATATGAAACAAAAGTAGTTGATCTTTTAAGTAATGCTCAAAATATCAATATGAAATATGAATAAGAATGAACTAATATTTAAAGAAAATAACTCACAACTTACATATTATTAAGTTTCGATGTAGCAAAACCAAGATGGAAGAGTTTAGCTTCTCATTTAGCGACTAAACATACTAGAAATATAAAGGAAATACTTATCTAGACTGAGTTTAGAGGTATATGTGAATTGGTGTCTAAATGGGAAGGAAAAAAGGTGTATTTATAGGTGTTTGGAGGTGGCAGGGTCATTTACCTGACCGGATTTTTTATTTACCCGATCAGGTATCCTAAGTAATTGCCCGGAATCTTCATTAGTCACATCATACCCGATCAAGTTTTTGATTTATCCGATCGGGTAAAAGACAAATCTTTGCCAAATCTTAGCCCTGCACGTTTAATTGCCTCCAAACAGAGTTGAACTTCGGGTCAAGTCAAACCCGATCAGGTATATGATTTACCCGACCGGTTTTTTGACTATTTTACCAAATTTTCACTTTATCTTGTTCCCTTGCATTTCCTTGACCTTCCCATGATCCTTTTGATGATCTTTTCCTAGTTTAAGCTCAGAAAATCCCTAATCTAAACATATTACAAACAACTAGGAAAAATAAAGCAGTACACCTAAAGTGTGTAATTCCCCAAATAACAATAAATGGAACTAGTTAAAATTACACACATAAACAAACATAATTCTATACTATCATACACCCTCCGGATGTCGAAGACATTTATACTCTCACAGTATTTTTAAGAAGTGTAAACGGTAGGACCGTAGGAAGAAGTAGGTGAATAAGTATGAGAGAGAAAATGCAAAAGTAGAGGAAGTATGAAAGAGAAGACGTAAATGCAAGGAAAAGTTATCAAAAACGGAAATGAAAAAATAATAAGTTACTTCCCAAAAAGGAATATGGAATTGGTTACCACCGCCTAGCTGCCGAGCAACCAACACTAAACACTAAGTAGGGATTGGTTAATGCTAGACCCTAAATGGTAAAAGCTACACTGAATGCTAACCCTAAACCCCAACGGAATTTTAGGCTAAAATTGTTACATCTTCATTTTGATAGATAGTCCTATTTTTTTCAAAATGCTAAGTTCTAGAGTTATATATAGCAATTTCTCTTATTGAAACTGATAAAGTCTTACATATGGAAGAGAGAGCCCTAAAAGAAGAATAGGGAAGTGTTGTAATCTATTACAAACTGAGAAATAATGAAGTTAATGATACCCTGTGTTACCACATCATGGTATTGGTCATAAGGAGCTTTCTGGTTATTGGGAAAAGGCGTTGAATTACGCTTACACACCGTGAGAATGAAATAGGAAAGCCAGAAGTTTGAGGCGCATGAGGAGGAGCTATTGACGAAGGCTTGGTATAGTTGGATCAAAGAGAAAGGAGGTATCCTTCTCAAAGTGAGCAAATATGAGGGATGACTGGTTCTTAATAAATCCAAAAGAAAATCTAAAGCCATACTTCATTGCTGACGTTGATGGCTATGAACACATTTGAAGTCATTAGTGCAATGTTGCTGGGCTCCATGTTTTTCAACTTTTTTTTTGTGAACCATATAATACAACAATATCCATGCCTTACTCCAAAAAAATTTTGGGGTCAGCTAACATGAATCGATACATGATATCAGAACCAAAGAAAAAGAAAGATAAAAAGATAGCTATGATAAAAAAATAATATAAAAAGAGATAAGATATACATAAAAATGGTAGAATAAAAAAGAAAAAGAATATATATATATATAGAGTCATTCTCCTGTCCAGCAGGTTTTGGTCCGAACGCCGTTCGGGGCGGTTACCGGTGGATTTTTTCGATGAAATTTTTATGGCATGTTCTTCATCAAGTCTAGTTTATACACAAAAAATTTCAACTCAAAGTTCGATCGGAAAGACCGTCAAATAATTTTTGGAAGTTAACTGCGCAAAATTATACATAGAAAAAAGCAGTCAACTTCCAAAAATTATTTGACGGCCTTCCCGATCGAATTTTGAGCTGAAATTTTTTGAGGATAAACTAGACTTGATGAAGAACATACCATAAAAATTTCATAAAATATTCCACCAGGAACCGCCCGAACGGCGGTGTTCGGACGACGCCTCAGGTCCGAATGTTCGGACCTGAGAATTTTCCTATATATATATGTGTGTGTGTAAAGATATATAAAGATAAAAGGATAAAAAAACAAAAACACAAGAAAGAAAAAGATGATGAAAGGAAGAGATCACTCCGCCACACGAATACCCGCCCTCCACTTTGCTCTCTCCAAAGTCATACCCTCATTCAACTCAAGAAGAAGCATATTACTCCTAACGTCTCTAATTCACATTTGTTTGGATCTCCCTCTCTTCTCTACTTCTCCGCACCTGTCAACTCGTCTGACAGGTGCATCACTCGGTCTTCTACGCACATGACCAAGGCACTGCATGCGAGACTCCCGCATCTTATCTTCAATAGGTGATACTCCCACCTTTTATCTGATTGTCTCATTCCTCAAGTGGTCTTTTCTAGTATGTCCATGCATTCAACGCAGCATGCATAACTCTGTCACACTCATCTTTTGAATGTGACCTATAATGAAATATGAAAATTTAGGATGGAATAATGTTGAAGGTGGGCTAGAAATATACGTTCTAGTGGAAAACATTAACCCTTCAAAGGTGATAATACTATATGTGTGTGATGTTATTGTTCCCCTTCATTGTGGATGCTGATGCCAAATTGTTAGGGGCTCTGGTGCACGATCAAGTCCAAGGTCAATAGATAACAAAAAGGGAAGGAATAATTTGAATTTATGGTGCCCAGAAATATTTATCTGACTCCTGCCCTAAGAAAGTAGTTGCTGCAGGTTCCACCGTGTGCCTAAGAGAAATATTACAAACTAAATCTTTATTCCGATGGATAAGCCTTATATAGGCAAATACAGAGTCCAAAAACACAAATGGGAAAGAGTTATAATTTATAGAGACTGACTAAAATTTGGAAAGCTAAATAATAGGAAACATCTGAGGTAACAGAAGCTTATTAAATGGAAACATCTAGGATAACTTGTGGACCAATTAATTAGGCCACTTGGTGTGTTTGCTGTTACACACCTGCTTAATATTTCTGATTATTGCTACAGCCAATGTGTTATCATGTCAATGAAGTAGCTAACCCTCCATTATGTTCTTTAAATCTGAGGACAGGAAGAATTGTTGAATTACTAGAAGCTCTGGAAGCTATGGTAAAAGATAACCAGCCGATTCCGCCGAGAGCAATGATTCTGAGCAGAAAGTATCGTACTTTAGTTAGCTCATGGATTGAGCCTTTGCAAGAAGAGGCTGAACTTGGATACGAGATTGATTACATAGCCAGGTTGGTCTGATAGTTCCTGGCTTTTAATCCTTGTATCCTACTGCAGCATGTGACAATGTTTAAGTTTGATTACTATTATATTCTTTTTTTTAGTTAGTGTATAGGAGTTTCTAATACATTTGTCAGCTACCTTCTTCTTGCCTCTACCAATCTGAGTCTGTAACGTTAATACCTTAACAGTTAAAGACTAACATTGACCAAAGAATTCAGGTATGTTGCAGAAGGTGGACTTACTGGTGAGCGCAAAAGATGGGTTCCACGGAGGGGTAAAACTCCTCTAGATCCTGATGCCGAAGGATTTATTTATTCCAATCCCACAGAAACCTCCTTTAAACAAAGGTGTCTTGAAGACTGGAGGACACATCACAAAAAGCTTTTGAATACCTTACACAATGAAGGACCTGCCATAATGGGAAACATATCTGAATCTGATTACTTACGTGTTGTGGAAAGACTGAAGGAAATTATTAGTGGTCCCAAGCAGAAGGTTTTGAAACCAAAAGCTGCAAGTAAAATGGTTGTGTCTGAGCTAAGGGAAGAACTAGAAGCACAGGGACTTCCAATTGATGGAAAAAGAAATGTGCTCTACCAGCGAGTGCAGAAAGCAAGGAGGATAAATCTTTCAAAAGGACGGCCACTATGGGTTCCTCCGGTTGAAGAGCAAGAAGAAGAGGTACATCTGGTTTGCCATTATGATACGAGCCCATTGTTTATATATAAGTGGTAACTAGACAACTAGTAAAATTACTATCAATATTATTGCTAGTTTTGTCATTAGATTTTAGTCAACAATCCTTATAGAAATACTAGTAAGATATTCACTTGCTCACCTAGACAATTGTGAGTATTATAAGTAGGCGTTTACTTCCATTAATAATAAAATAATTCCCATCTAACCACACTTCATAAATCATACAGAGTAACACATTAAGTTACGGACCTAGCCCATATTAGGCTCATACCAATGCCATAAGCCTAGGTGTAGAACTCACTCCCAAAAGTCCTGCCATAAGCTTATAAGCTTATAAGCCACCGATCAAGCAGATACTTGATTGGGATCGTTACAATACCCCATGCTTTGAAAAACCAATGTTCTCGTTGGTCACGGCTATGTTGGTCACGATTGGCACCCCTAGAGCCCAAGCCACCACTCCATAGGCCACCACTCCGGGTGTGAGGACAAGAAAGATGGGGACGGCTCTGATACCATTTGTTATGGACCTAGCCCATACTAGGCTCATACCAATGCCATAAGCCTAGGTGTAGAACTCATTCCCAAAAGACCAGTCGGTTAGGAGGAGGGGACACATAGCTTATAAGCCACCGATCAAGCCTATTATTAGCTATGTTTAACAAACTAGACTGGCAAGCGGCCAAGCCAAATGACTGAGTCACAGGTCAACCCGGACCCGACGAGTCAACCCAGCAATGGCTAGAAAACCGGTCAACATTTTTAAAATTTTATATTAATAAACATATCATTTTGTACATAATTAAAAAATTGTAATTATTTTTCATAATAATTAAAATACTGTAATACTTTGTAAGAATTTAAAACACTCCCATAGTACTCCAATAGTCCAATCTCCAATGTATAAGATTAGTCATATTGAAATCAGTAATGTTATTTGTGTTGAAATTTACAATATAATTTGGCATAATTTATTCCTAAATAAATATACAATGTTATCACACTTTTTTTCTTTGTATGATATTGAGATTTGAGATTGTAATTTTATTAGATAAAAATGCTTAAAGTATTTAATAAATTTTCTTAAAACAGCATCCGAAACCGGACTTTGCTGGGTCACCGGAGTTTTTGCGGTCTGGGTTTTTACAGGTTGACCTGTTTTTTCCTACCCATTTTCAGGTTTTTCACAATTGAGACCGGTTTTTGGTCCAGGTCGACCCAGCCGGTATGGGTCGGTTTCTTAAACATAGATTATTAGGTGGATTCAAATATATCCTTGTTCTTATACATTCCCAAAGTTTTGATGTTACTATTTGTTAAGTAGGTCGATGAAGAGATAGATGAATTGATATCTTGTATCAAGGTGCAAGAGGGAAATACTGAGTTCTGGAGAAAACGTTTTCTGGGAGAATGCTTAAATGGAAATAACAGCCAGCAATTGGAAGTAAAAACTATAGAACCTCCTGATGTCTTGGATGATGATGGTATTGTTAATGATGGCAAAAATGTTGAAGATGGTGAGACAGATGATGATGATGATGATGATGATGAGGAGGAGGAGGAGGAGGAGGAGGAGGAGGAGGAAGAGATGGATCTAGAAGCAGAGCAAACTGAAGCCCAGGTAGAAGGAGGTGATAGGCTCAAAGATGGAAAATCTAAAGCGGCCAGCCCTCTTCAAATGATTGGAGTACAGTTGCTGAAAGAATCCGAACAAACAGCTACTTATTCAAAAAAAACAAGAAGGTTTCGACTTTCTGAACCAGTAAGATTTAAAAATTTATTACTACTTCCTTCCTAAAATAAGAATCATGGAATACTGAAACCAGTATTACAAGTGTGACTCCTTTTGGGGGATGGAATGAGTTTCATTTTTTTTACTTTGTAGTTCTTTTGTATGTTAATTGCTACTCTATTGTATAAACTTCCATCTCATGAACAGAGTCTGCAGGAATGAACACTATTCATTTTCATAGATGAAAGACTACAGATATAAGCTAGATCCTTTCCTAGTTTTAGGAGACAGACTAAGGAAAAAATAAACTATCAAATCTACATCACAACTAATTATAGTGAATATTTGACCTAACCCATTCCTGTATGAAACTCTGTTTATCTTCATTTAAATAATTGACTGAATAATAGTTTGAGATTTGCATATTGACACTGCCACAAAATGGGATTGTGGCAAAAGTGACACCACTGCAAAGTGGGAGTAAAAGTGTATTTATCTTCTGGTTACCATTTTCAAGGTTTAATCCATAGGTTTTCAAATTTTGATAATGGCTCGAATGTGTTAGTTTTGGAGAAATCTAAGGTCATATTGACAGTTCGCATGTTGTTTTAATATTAAACAGGAATCTTGTACTTATATATTTCTCACAATTATGTAGGATGACGACGATGAAGACTGGTTCCCATTGGATATAAATGAAGCATTAAAGGAGCTGAGGGAAAGAAAGGTTTTTAACGTGGAAGATATCTACACAATTGCTGATGTTTGGGGTTGGACATGGGAAAAGGAACTTAGGAACAAAGCTCCTCAAAGATGGTCACAGGAATGGGAAGTCGAGTTGGGAATCAGAATAATGTCTAATGTACATTTAGTGTTTTTCATTCTCGATCTCTTCATTCTTACAGTTCTTATTTTTTCACTAGGACCAAAAATAAACTTTACTAAATTATATATCAGGTTATAGCACTGGGTGGAAAACCCACAGTAGGGGATTGTGCTATGATACTGCGTGCTGCCATTCGAACTCCCATGCCTTCAGCTTTCTTGAAAATTCTGCAGACAACACACAGTCTTGGCTATGTATTTGGCAGGTAAGTGATAGGTTCTTATGAAGCTGTATATAGATTCTTTTTGTCATGTAATTGGTTTTAGCCCATTGGAAGCAATCATTTTTTCTGTTTGGGGGGCATATCTTTTTTCTTTTCATAGATATAAGAAGGAACCTCTTGGGGTTTTTCTCAAATTTAATCCAAACTCCATAATTAATCCCAGTGTCCCTAAAATAATACCCATACTTTTCTTCTTGTCCGTTCCCAAATAAAGCAATATGTTCTCATTTGCTCAAAGAGTTACTACCTCCGTCCTACTAAGATTGGAACGTGATGTAATGGCACTATTATTAAGAAAGGTGTGTTTATATGGTTGGTATTGAGTTGGAAAAGTAGGAATAATGTAAGAATGGCAACCATACACATATTTACCAAATATGAAACGGGAGTATGGGACAGCTTAGTGGGACAGACGAACACGAAAAGATGGGATAATGATAGCGGAGGGAGTATAACTCTACTTTAGTAACCTTACTTGATATCCCCTCCACCACCATTAATTACTCCACCAAGGGAAAACAATGAGGTTAGAAAGCATGCACATTTGATCCATTATAAAGCGTGTTAAGTCCTAGTGAGCTTTATCAAGGGAGGAAGGGGGTGGGGGTATGAAGACTAACTAGATAAGATTAGTGTTTTAAAACTCATACGGCTTATTCATGAATATAAAAGAGATAAGCTCAATTATTTCAACAGAAAATGATTGAACTAATTATATATTAGTAGTTGGGAACAAGGATGCACCCTATAATAGTTGAATGATAGTTCTCTTGTTGTGTATCTTTCTATTTAAAGAGCTTATGTTAAACATCTAGTAAAGAAAACAGTTGCTTCATCTTGTCAAATATATCAAGCAAGACCTGCCCAGCCATTCGGGGTTGGAAGTAATAAGAAAAATTGGCAAAGGATTGGTAGTTCTTGATGGCAACAAATTTTCTTGAAAGATCCAAGTAAAAGAACAGAGGATAAATAGGTAATGATTATGGCATGTATCCACACCTTGTTTTGCAGTCCTCTGTATGACGAAATAATAATGATATGCCTTGATCTCGGAGAACTTGATGCTGCCATTGCCATAGTAGCAGACTTGGAGACCGGGGGAATCACGGTTCCAGATGAAACCCTTGATCGAGTAATTTCTGCTAGGCTCTCAAATGACAATCCACTAAATGGTTCACAATAACTTAATGCCCTTGTGTTGTTGTTGTTGTTATTGTTGTCGTTGTCGTTGTCGTTGTATTGTGGTTGTCGTTGTCGTTATTATTATGCTTATTGTTATTAATGGTGGTGGTGGTGGAGGAGGAGGTGATGATGATTACTATTATACATAATATAGAGTAAATTATTAGGTTGGTTTTAGGATTTAACATTTTAACAATTTAACCCCCCTATTTGATAGGCATTTCAATGTGTAATTTGTTATTATTATTCCCGTTGTTTTCGCTTTGTCATCATGATCATTATTCTTATTACTATTATTATTATTATCATGATTATCAAGGAAATTTTTGTGAAATATGAGTAAAAATAGTGTCGCTTCTATACAATAAATTTTATTGTAAATGACAAGCACGCTTATTTTGGACCTAAGATTTTTGCAATGAAAACTTTAAACCTGGACAGAGGTGACACTTTTTAATTAATATAAAAATTAAAAGATGAAAGAATGACATAGATATGACTAGTGACCTTTACATTTCCCAAAATATGACTTAATTTTTTCTTTCCTCATCAGAATTAATGAGCAGTAGCAATTTCACCCTTGCACTTCCGTCCAAATTGAAAGAAACGAGAGGAGCCTCCCTCTTCTACTCTTCATTCCAGCACTTCACCTCACAGGAGCCAATGCTGCCTCTTCGCTGCCTCCTTGCTGCCGTCTTGCCTCGCCGCCAGGGGCGGATCTACTAAGAGCTGAGTGGGGCAGCTGCCCCCAATAAAGACCCACTAATTTCCTTTAGTTTGTTTATAAATATTAAAAATTCAAATTTTTGCCCTCAATAAAAAAAAGGATTGCCCCCAATCAACCCATGATCCTTCTGCCCGCTCTAGAATCCAGGAGGTAATTGATAATCCAAGAGGTAATTGGTTAGTCGCACACCATTGATGGATAAAAACATCTTCACTTTAATTTTATTTTCTTTTACAAGTATCTATTAATCAATTTATTGTTGGTGTGTTGACTTTGATTGCTTTTGATGGTTGGATACTTGTTTAGTTGTTTAATTCATACATCCGTATGTGAATATGTGATCATTGTGTTGTTTACTTATTTAAGGCTATACAATAGTTTTTAACTTCTATTTAAATATAAGTATTATTATTTTTTAATTAAACTTATTACTCCGTATAATATTGTTAATGTATATAGGAGTATTGATTTATATCAATTGGATATAATTTTTTTAGAAGGATCGACTAATATAAAACTCATTTACACAAATATGACTAATAGTTATCACAACTAATAGTAGTGTCATGAACTTAAGTGTAAAAGTTGAACATAAGTTACTATAATTTCGTTCCTAGTCTAGTCACTGGTCACATATTTATAAAGAATCTTTATTTTAATCATAAATATGTAATTTGTCTGATGTTTTACACTATTAGAAAATAGAAAATGTCATTTAACAATTAAGATAGAATTCCTAAATGTAACTAATATGTTATTTTAGGTGGTTAATTAAAATGTTTTAATGTATTAAAAAGACTTTGCTTAATATAACTTGTTCTAGAGACTCGATGAAGAGATATTGGGCTACCGTTCTTTCACCAATACCCGATAGTTCAAATAGTAATGTTTTTAATAGTTCTTCTTAGTGTTCTCTATCAATAATTAAAGAATTCGATTTAGATGAGCTTGCCTTTTAAAAAAAAGGTTCACATTTTTGGAAAACAGCTTTAATTTGATGATATTCAAGGAAAAGACCCTTAAAAGATATGTACTTATGTTTAGTAAAGCTAGGGCGCAAAATCTAGATAGACAAAGTCACATCATAGGACCTTGCTGACCTGAAAATGCTCGACCTCACTAAAATCGGCCTAAGACTCAGACATCGATCTCATGAGTCGGTTGGGATCGCTGACCGGCCAGCTAGCTAGGGATAGGGGTGGATTCGGTTGGGGCCACCCGGCCCGTGACCCGGCCCGGCCTGGCGGTCCGGGACCGGGTGTAGACCCGAACCGGTGGTAATGGGCGGTTCGGGTCCGGGTCCAATGGTCCTATTTTTTTTTAAAAAAAATTGTTAAATAGTTACTAACCGTTATGGCCTTGGGGGTGGGCTGGGGACAACCCAAACGGCTATATAGCCGTTGGGTGGGGTGCAGGGGGGTCCGGGGGGTTGGGTGGTGGGGGGTGGGGGGTAAAAAAACCTATAAATACTCCTAAATCCTAAATATTTTTTCATATCTCTTCTCCAATTCTTCCTAAATCCTATTCTTAACTCTCTACTCTCTTATTCTCCAATATATTATATTTATTATTTCTAGTTTATATTAATTATCTACTTATAATTTATAAATACATACATTATAGTATTATATTACTTATATTTGTTATCTAATTATATATTACTTATATATTTATTATATCTAATAAATTTATGTGTGCAAGATGGTCTAAAAGCGTTGGGAGCATCGTTGGAGGTAGTCGGGGGGGGGGGGGGGGGTTAGACGTATTTGGGGTAATGGACAACTTAGGAAAAAATGGCATGATTATTTGATAGAAAAAGATGAGAGATATGTGGCTTTTCCTAAAGATTTGTCTATTCGTTGGAATAGTACCTATAAGTTAACTGGGGTTCTTCTTAGATATAAACAACATTTTTCTGCTTTTATGAAACAATATGATAACTATATTATAAACTCGGCTGAGATCGACACCTGTGAAAAAATTTGTAATGCTTTGATATATTTTAATAATGCAATTGAAACTTTTAGTCATGTTTATAAACCTACCTCAAACCAATTTATTCGTGAAGCTGTTAATCTCGCCGGTGCTTTTTCAAATTTAGAGAATGCTGATTATGTGAGTTATTTTGCTAGTTTTATGAAGGAAAAGTTTTTAAAATATTATTCACATATTCCACATATTTATGGTATTGCATTTGTTCTCGATCCTCGTTTTAGACTTGGTTCTTTAGAAGAATGTTTGAATTATTATTATGCTGCTTTTTTTGGTCCATTGCCAACGTATGAGGACAACCCAATTGATCCGAAAAAAGAATACAATGAGGTTAGTGATATATTTTATGCATTATTCAATGAGTTTCATGCACAATATGGTAATGCGCCCCCTCCCCCGACACAAACATCATCTAAAGGAAAATCAATTTTCAAATCTACGTTTGCCAATCTTATTAAAAAACGAAATCAACCCCCGCTACACAACAAAGCACAATTAATGAGATTTCTTTGTATTTAACATATGATGTTGATTTTGAAGAAGATGATGATTTTGACGTACTAAACTGGTGGAAGGGAAAAGAAAGAATGTTCCCGGTCTTAGCAAAGATGGCTAAGCAAGTGCTATCAATGCCGGTTTCAACGGTTGCCGTGGAACAAGAATTTAGTTCGGCCGGCAATGTCCTAACGTAAACCAGAACGAGGTTGAGCGCAGAATCTCTTGAGATGCTTATATGCTACCACGATTGGTTGAAAGCAGTCCGTAGAGCTCAAGAAATTGACATCACCCCATCCCAACACTTTATGGATGAATCTACAACCGAGGGTGGCTCTACCTATGCCGGAGATTTCGATTGAATGATTGATTAGTATTTCATGTTTTAATTTTACCATCAATTCTCAATTGTAGTTCCTATTTAATTTTCAAATGTAGTTCCTATTTCATTTCAAATAAATGCACTTGAAGTTTATTTTTAATACTTGTATAAAACTATAAAGTATAAAATATAAATTATAAAAACAAAAAAAATCTTTAACCGACCCGGCCCGGCCCGGCGGGTGGCCTGACCCGTGACCCGGGCGGGTGGCCCGGCCCGAACCGGACCCGTCCAACCCTCGGGCCGGTCCCGGGCCCATATGATACGAACCGGCGGCCCGACTGGACCTAGGCCCGGCCCGAGTCCATGACTAGCTAGGGAACTGAGCTCGAGCAGAAGTTGCATAGCAGTTGCAAGTAGCTTTTGAGTCCATGATAGGTCTTGCGTGCACTTTTTTAATTAAAGTTTTTATCGTGACCATTTAAAAGGCTTAGGAGCATTCATTTTTTGGATCAACATAACATCATAGGGGGTCAGCAAACGATCGATACTCCAAGTCACTCTATTTTAGTAAAAACACTTACTTTCACATATAAAAGGATTGTGTGTAAATATATATAAAGAAATTATATGGGTCAAAAAACAAAATATGGGTGAATTTAAACGCGATCAACTCGCATTCCTCCCTCTACCGGTCATCGCAAAAAAATTAAGGAACCATACTTACTCCCTTATTGAGTCACATGGAGTATTGTGGCATCATTTCTGTCACTAGTTTTTTAGTAGTGATGAGAACACAATACCCCATCTGAGTTCATCAGGGAATCATATGTGATTCCTTAAAACTACTCCCCAATTGTGCCACTAGTTTGTAAAAAAATTATTTTAATGAATTAAACATATATTGTACTCCATAGTTCATTTTCCTTCCTATATGATATATCCACAAAGCCCAATTAAAACACTACCCAAAGAGTACAATTCTTTTCCGATATACCAATAAAAGAAAAGAGTATGTGGTAGACTCATCGGTCATGGTTCCGATTTTGAATTGAGGCCGATAGATCTTTACTGAAAAATTCAATCATCTAGGACCGGGTGCTAATTCGCTATAAAGAGATCATGAATCAGGTCTGGTAGACTGGATGGTTTCGGACCCAATTTTGGAATTTTTCTATTTTTGAAATCCTTATCTAAAGTAGGCATATTTATTTTTGGGCACCGGGTCGGGCTCGAAATCAGAAAAATGACAGTCGTGACTCAATAACGAAGCTTGGAAGGAGGGGACGGTCCTAGATTGGAACTGAAAAATCGGTCTTCAACCGGTCCCAAATAGTGACACACTAGGTTCTCGGCAGGCCCGGCCCAGCCCAGGTGCAACTGGAGCAGCTGCACAGGGCTTCCAATTTTGGAGGGCCCCCAATTTTTTTAAGTGTAGTAGTATACCTAGGCTAGGCCCATTAGTTTAGAGTAATAACTAATAATTCGAAAAAAGGCCTGATCCAATAAAAACAAAAAAAGCCGTCCGCCGGTCCGCGTTGCTCTTTACTTCCCTAACGACGTACCGCGTGGA